TCTCTCTCTCTCTCTCTCTTTCTCTCTCTCTCTCTCTCTCTCTCATCCTCACCCCGAAGTGGATAGCAAAGTCGGGACGCTGTGTTGGTTAGGCGTCCCAACAGTTTGACGACATGCCCATTATACCTCGACGCTATAGAGTCGACTGGGGCTTTAGACGTTACGCCTTCCAAGTACGAAACTCCTCGTGACGGGGTGGCTACAGGAGAGACCAGCGAAGAGACTCCGGAGCGCGCGACGACGACGACGTCGCTGTCGTGGAGAAGGGGTAGAGCTATTTGCCCGTCTTTGTAAAATAAACGCTCGTAGTGCCGCCCCTGAATACTAATTTCACCGAGCATACCCAAAAGCATCGTTAATAACAGAGCGAGTGTTTCGTATAAAGGCTCGACGAAGCCTAACCTAAAACTAATAAAAGCCGAGAGTAAATTCCTTATCGTGATATATCGGGGCTGATCAATATTTACGGAATAAAGAAAAAAAACATTTCATCGATCTCGCTTGGAGTATGAACAAAGCATAATCGGTAGCGTCACGATATAAATCCAGCGGTCGCATTTCCAAAAGTGTCAGTACCTACCGAATGTTCTAGAAGGTTCCGAACGACGCCGCCGCGGCGTAACGGCTAGCGATGCATTCTGGGACACTCGGCGTTCGCAAAGACGCGTGGATCTTGACTCGAGGTAATCTACCAGAGTTCCATGCTCGTGTCGAAGTCCTGGGGTACGGTAGAGAGCAGTTAAGTGGCTGAACGGCGGAGTTTTTGTAAACGATCCCCATCCCAACTGTGTGTCGAGTACACACGATCTCCTGAGGTCGCCTCTCTCTACGGTCCGGCGGCTATGTGTACGCGCACCAGAAGTCATTGTCGAGCAGACGACACGAACGACGAGCAGACGTAGCAAGGTTTCCATGCTACTGGCCGCGTAATGGAGTGTCCACACTTGAGCGACTCGCATCGCGAGCTGCCGCTCACTTCGGCCAAACTCGGCCGAGTCCTCTGTGCTCTCATTGTTTACATAAAACTTTAGGGCTACTGCTTTGAGAGACCGATACGCGGCCCAAAAGAGTCTCACAAATATTACAAGACTCGGAAAACATGCTCTATCAGATTCCGCTGCCGGATCTTCAAATCGGAGCTTGGACTTTCTTGTTTACGCGCCTTTACAAAGAAGCTCGGTCCTGAGTCAAGGCATGGGATGCACAAAAAAAAGATGTCTTTTTTAACACAGATATGTATATATATATGTCACTGGCCTAGCCCGTATTTAGGAACACGAAAACTCTAATTTCTGCTTCTTTTAGCCGTCTTAACCTTCTTTAAGTTACTCCGTGCCGGAGCTGGTTGTCCGGCTTGACAATGAAGTCGCGCACCTCGAGATTTAAATCTCGCGCCAAAACTCGTGAAAAGAGCGGGTTCGAGATTAACATCCTTCCGTTAAGTAGGATCAAGGTTGACGGAGCTAACCAGCCGTAAGGACGTCTAAAGGGATCGCACGGTCCTTAAAACTAATCCCGACGGTTTACAACGTCCAAAGGAATTATCGAAGGTTACCGTACTTGGTACGTTCTACTTCCGGACGGACTAAACCGGAAATGGATGCAGAATTCGTTTCGCTGAGAAAGGGAATATAAAACAATTCCTAATTATCAATAGCATCGACTACATCAATGATTCTCAGATGTGTCAGTATATTAATTAATAGATTTAAACAGGGATCATTCTTTATAACGATAATGATTATCACAATCATACGAATGACAAAATGTATAGTCTCAATGATGCTGCATGTACACAGGGTTAGTCAGTAGAAGCGCACCAACAGAAGTTGGCCGCAAGTGGCCGACACGGCAGTGTGGTCTCTTCAAAAAATGACATGTGACTGTGACCGATTCCCATAAGCGCAAACTGACAGTTCGCATAGCAATAAGGTTATTGAAATATTTCAATAGTTAGGTTACTGAAATAATTAATTAATATTGTAATGACAAAATGTAATATCATTTAAGATTTATTTTCACAACAGATTGCAATTAAAATAATGTAAAGTTTAAAATATTCACAATTTTGATATTTCCAAGTAATAATTACAACTGCAATTCTGCAATACAATGCTGCAATTAATTTAAAAATCAATTATTTGAAATGTTTTTATAGCAAAAAAGTGCAGGAAAAAAATCTGTTCTGAAAATAAATCTTAACTGACGTTACATTTTGTCATTACAATATTAATTCATTATTTCAGTAACCTAACTATTGAAATATTTCAATAACCTTATTGCTATGCGAACTGTCAGTTTGCGCTTATGGGAATCGGTCACAGTCACATGTCATTTTTTGAAGAGACCACACTGCCGTGTCGGCCACTTGCGGCCAACTTCTGCTGGTGCGTTTCTACTGACTAACCCTGTATATCCATATTGCGGTACTCAAAGCGATCAATGACTGTACGACAATGCATACGAGTAGAATAAAGAAAATAGTAAGAGCCTGATAATGACTGCTAAGCAGACTCTATATATGTATATATAGTGTGACGTGTTTTCTTAACTCGACACCGATAACAAAAGTCCGAGAGCTAACCTACGTCACCTCCGGCCGTCCATCCTTCGTCCGTGCATCCGCATGCCAGGCGGCCGCCAGCAAGTGCCTTTTTCACCGGGAACTGACAAGCCGGCATGGCCTGGGAGTTCAGGTGGAACAGTCTCGACTTACTCAAAACGAGAGCTCTGGCGGAGCCTGTCAGAAGAAACGGTAGCCCATTGTATCCTGTTCATTTTTGGGGACGCGCAAAATCAGCAACGCAACTGGATGCTCAAACGGGAGCGAACGGTTACGGAAATGCTCGACTGCTCGGGCTGCTGGGTTGAGATAGAGAAGATCGGAGCAAGCGTCAGGTAAATAGTGCCGAAATCAGAGAGCAACTGATCGAGAACGTAGCAGACCGAATCGGAGCTGTAGAATCGAAATCCCTTCACCAATTATTAAATTGGAAGTACTCACCGGAGCTGGTTCAGCTGATCCGTCAAGGCCGAAAACTGCATCCAGGGGAAACTCAAATGGGCACTGCACCATAGCACAGCACTGCACCTCCGAACCACACGCGGAAAATCCGTAGGATTTTCTGGATACAGCGAGAGCAACCCGAAAACTAAGCGAAAACTTTTTATACCGTACAGAAAACACAGCTAGAAAAACTGTCAACAAACAGCCCGGGAGCGCGAGGCAGCTCGAGGCACCCCGATCGGTGTCCCAAGACAGACTGCTTTAAATCAGTAAATTGACAATAGTCAAATTCGTGAACCAATCATTCTGATTGGTCGAGATCCGTATAGCCGATAAAACTCTTATCCTTTCCCTCGAGTCGTCCCTTTAAACCAAATCGAGAGCGTTCCTTAGCGAATCAGTACGTGACTCCTGGAGATCCTCCACGGCAGCTTCCCCAGGATATCGGGCGACAGCCGGGCACCACGTTCTTAACTCGGGTCAAGAAATTTCTCCTCTATGCTTAACTGTGACAGAAACTTTATCACCGCCCGCTCTACAGCCCTTTTGCGTCTCTTCAGCGGGACGCCAATATCTCAACCGGTCAGTGAAGACATTTCCGTCGGGTCCTCTTCTCTACCGGGCAACTCAGTACCTCGAGATTATCTCTGCACGGCAGATTCGAACACCTCGACCTCGACTCAACAATATAAAATATTTCCGAGAGCATCGGCGTAACTGTACGAATCAACCCTAAAGCATAACTTCTAAGGAGAGTGGCGACTCGAAGGAAACCAGAGGGCGAGACCGTCGTCCGAATTGGTAGCTGGAGTCACCTTGTGACCGTGAGCCGAAAAATCACGTCACATATATATATGTATATAAACTGAGTGTCGGAAAGGTATGCGCTTCGCAGTTTGTTAGTTAAATAAACATCAGACGGGTCCATCTTCCCGACAACAGTGCCGGGCTTTGTTATGCATCACGAGGGGCGCATGATAAAGCGCCGTCAAACGTCTCGGCGCCTCTTGATTCTTTAGCCCAGGATCACGGAGCGGGTTCCGCTCTTCGATGATCGACGATCAATGGCCCCACCGTATGGACTCTCTTGGTTGGAACTGACTTGGATCTCCTTGGGTCCCCACTTCGGACACCCCTATCAATGTCAGGGAAGGCTCAAGCACAATGGGCACCCGTGAAATTCCGAGCGATTCGATGGATTTAATATCTCGACAGAGGCAATTTCGCGGGATGACCTTTCGAAAATATTCTTTCTCTTTGAGATTTATTCGTCGATTCTTCTTGGGGTCTTACCTCTCTTGTTCTATCCTCTTGGTATGTTGGCGCGCGGCACCTTGTATACCTTACGAAAGCTTTCGTGACAAATGGATGGACATATGAATGTGCCTGTAATATAGATGTATATATATATACATAGATTTTATGAGGACAAATCTTTGATGGGGTAATAAATAGTACTCATTGGTTTTGCAATTTTTTTTCTTTTTACATTTTTGCTACGACTAATTGAACGAAACTCGACTTATTATTGGATTGTGTAAGGCATGCAATGAAATCCAAGTGAATTACGTGTCTACCAGAACTGAATTGGGTGCGTTCACAATAGAGACACGCCTCGTGTTATGTAGGACACTGCTTACAAAAACTATGACGATGATACGTCTTATTGTACAGACAGGGGTTATGAAAAGTGATCAAATAGTATGGCCGCGAGGTCCGACGTCTTGGACAATAGGCGGTAATTCAATTAGCTTCTTACGATATAGAATGATGAGCCGTTACTGGTGTCATTAACGTGGCTAGGTTAGACTTTATATCTTCGGCCATTAGTCGTATTGTCTGTCGAAATCGAATAGTACGTTTAAAATATTTTTAGCTACGTTAAATAACGTGGATTATTATTTATTATTAAAAATATTTAACAGTGATTTTCTTCAGGACGCATCCTGTCTACGATGGACCTTTCATATTCGACAAATTCAAATGCACCGTCGCTCGTACATGCGAACGTTATATTCGACGTCGACGCAAGCCATACATCGGCGCAGTTTTAATCAACGCGCTACAAATCCCCTAGGTAGCCGTCGCTCTTTCATTTTTTTTATCGAAGCTTTTTTAATTTCATTAACGAACGCCAGATGGCAGAGTCTCTCTTTGGGATTACCGAAACTCTGAAAAACTATAGAAAGTGCAGTGGAAAACGTCCCGGACCGGTTTTGCCTCCGAGATGGATTAATGAAATAGAAAAATTGAAATACCCCACGCATGCACCCAGGTACGTACCATAAGTCGTGAGGTATTTTTAAAATAAATTTTTTCGGGGGAAATTTATATATATATAATTAATAGGTTCAAAAAATTTGACATCGTACCAACCCTTAGCGTTCCGAGTAACGTCTGGAATATGAGAAAGAAAAAAAAAGGGCTAAATTTTCAAAGGGTGAAAAATTCTTATAGACGGCTAACCCTTCGCTCTCCCAAAGACTCCTTGAAGGGTTCGCGAAGTAGCAGGAGGGTAGATTCGAATTTTTCGTGCACGATGTAAATATGGCGCTCGAAGTTTCATTCCTATTTCAGCAGGGCTCCGCCCATCGTCGTTATTCCACCCCTCGGCAAAAATAAAGGAAGAAAACGTAGCGGCACACAATTGTCGAAACATTTTTGACGCGCAGGACAGAGCTCGCGGGAGGCTCGAAAGTGAGAGAATGTAGGAGGCAGAACGAACTTGCACTTGTGTAACCACCGTATATACATTTAATACAATGGCCAGCGAGTACGAGTGACGCCGGAGAACGAGAGAAAGAAAGACAGCTATATATATACACAAAGGGTAGCAAGTAGCGTGGAGGGAGAGAAAAAGATAGAGATAGCAAGTATACAGGGTGGCGGACGAGTGAACGCAATTTACATGATTTTGCATGTTTTAGCGCGCCCTGGCTCGCCCATCGGGTTTCAGCTGTCTGTCTACGTTTTCTGCTTGCTTTTCTGGCTCCCGAGTGGGGGAGCCTCGGAGAAGGAAATTATTTTCCTTGGTTTTTCTCGTCGAAGGTGCCACGAGCTGGCAGAATATCAATAAGTGAGAAAAGCAAGAGGATTTTTTTTTTCATACACCAATAAGAATTACGTGAGAAAAGAACCCAGTTTATACACCCCTGACGTGCGTTACCCAGAGCCCGCCCACGATCTGCGGTTTGACATTTTTATCTCCTGACAAATCCATATGGCAAATTCCCTACGTTGGTTATGGTATATGCTTTTATGTGTCCAAGCAAAAATCTTTTGTTGCCTCTTGTCGCTACGAAAATAGGTTATCTATCTATAGCATATAGCATCCCCTGTACGCCAGAGGGGGTGCCGTATGGATACGTATCGTTTCTCATTGCCGTAAGGCCGTTCCGGCTCTCCCATGGCTAACAATGGGCCAATACCAAGTGATAATGAGCTGCCATTGTCGAGCGAGTGCGCACTCACGGATCGCGGATTGCGTGCGCGGCCACGCACAACCGCCGAGAGCGTCATTACAGGTAATCGAGCAAATCGCAGGGCTACGACTACGATCGGAGAAAATCGTTACGTCACCTCCTATCGTTCTTCCGCAGTGGCATACGTTTACCGAGGTAACCACGTATATCCGTTACTCAATCGTACATGAATATAAACCAGTGTTTCGATGAACGCGTGAACTGACCACGAAGAAAAAGAAAAATTAGTTTCCAGCATGAAAAATGACTAGAAGAGTCGTAAGACGTCGAGAACGGATGAAGATGATGGGAGACATCGGTGGTCGCTCTGGTGGCCTGAAAATTAAGGAAAGCCGGTCAGCACTGAATGGAGTGTTTGTTTAGCAGGTCGAGCAATCTTACCGATCTGGAAAGCCGATTTGTGGATTAAATGCTGAACGGTCGGTTGGTAATGGCGACAGATACCGGCAGCGTGACCTTACGGTGATTTTTGGCATTATAAACATCTCGACCGATCCCAGCAGGTGCTCTGGAAAGAGTAACATTATGCTATGTAAATCGGTACTAAGCCATAAGACCTACAATGGGCTTACGTCGATGATTACCGATCATCAGATCAGTCCTACCGACCAAATTGAGTTGGTTATAAGATACAGAAGCCATATACGCTGTACGGTTACTGTCCGATGAAATGTAACGTAGCGAGATATCGCAGGGCCCAAAGGCGTCGAAGATCGGCTCCGATGCTGAACCGATGCTGGGACTCGAGTAACGCAATGACTTGCACTCCAGGAGCGGCGAAATAGAGGTGTTCGAGATGAGAGGGCGGCTCGCCGCGTTTATTTATCCTGCCCGCTCTGAGCTGAGAGCCTCTTGTGTCCTCCTCCGCCTTCTTCTTATCCTCCTTCCCTCCAGCCACCATTTCCTCACCTCCCTCGTCCTAGACCAGATCTCCAACAGCACCAGCAGCTCCTCCCGACGTATCCCATGCAGCATCGGTCTACCTCTTTTTACCGGGTCAATCTTTGATCGGTATCGTCGTGTGTTGCACGGAGGCTTCTCGGGCTTTCGAGAGCGTGTTATGCCCTTGTGACGGTATTGCTCGGGCCCTGTAATCAGGTCGCAGCCGCCGACACTGTAAAACCAGCACTCGGCTCCTGACAGGAGCCCCCACGATACGCCCCTGCTAGCCAACACTTTGGGTTTTGTATGAAGGCACTGGATTGGTTCGCCAATCATGACGTCACCTTAATACCTTTGTCCAATTCGGCAATTTTTTATTTCATTCTGTAACCCTTTCTTGGTTGCACTGGCATTTTTGAAAAGTTTTTCTTTTTTTTTTTTTTCATTTCTTGTCTACTCCTCTAGCTTCGACTACCGTCCCTGGCACTGTCGAATGGTTGCTTTTAATTAAAACAATCCTGTAATGCCGCGCCAGTAGCTTCGTGGGCGAAGCCTGCTAGTCTGGAGAACGTAAAAAGAGTGCCGCTGGGGTTTAGAGAGGATTGCCAACCAATTATCTGCTCCGATATGATCTCCTGCGGCTTTTGCTCTCCACCATTCTCCAGCGGCGCTCGTCTGTGTGCTTGATTCTTGGATCTTCCGCGCTGTCGTCGATGCTCCAATGGCCCCTGCTAAGCCTGAGGGGCCCCGGGGAAATATACGTGGACGGGTTTCCTTTCGTTATTGTACACAGTTACACACCGACGCAGGAGTCGCCATCAAGATTCGTTTCATTCAGTATACTCGTCAATCTTCGACGAGCTACCCTCTTGATATTCGGAATCTTATATATCTGAAATTGATAAGACTTTATGTAGACATTTTTTTCTCCCTACTTTTCATACAAAACTTATATTTTTCTTACCACTGTTTTTCTACGGTGCAATCCTTCGCTCTTTAGCGATTTAATTGTCGCAGTTAAGTTGCGAAGTTAATTTAATAATTAATCATAATATAATGACATTTCGCAAAGAACGCGCATATAATAAATATTACAATCCCATTCCCGTGGTGTTATACTTTACACAATTTCAAATACGAATAATATAATAATTCATTACTTTCCAAATTACTACCATCCAAATGATATGACGGAAAAACAATTGAACTGAAAGTCTTTGATAAATCGTACCAACAAGTGAAATTATAACATTCAGCTTATCCGTATGATTTTGACATGAAATCCGTACTGACAGACATTTAAGACTATCGCCGTAACCACAACGTACATAGGATCTGACAAATCTATTTAATCCTTATCAGTCAATCAGCGAAAGCGAATCGGTACATTGACTCGTGTAAGTTGATCGCGTGTGTATCTCAATAGTCGCATATAGATAAGTAAGTGGAGATGCGTACGCACGAACGCATGTACGCGCGCACGCATTTCCAGCGTACTGAAAGGGGCCTCAACGGGTCCCCGCTACGCGACTATACCGAGAGGGAAGCGTAAAGACTCGTGAAAGCTTCCGGGGAGACAAATTGGCGTGAAAACGCATTTCGTACAGGGACAGAACGGTGAGAGGAGCCAAGAGAGATGCCGAAAGAGATGGTGAGAGCGAGAGAGAAGGATAAATGAGTACCAGTACCAGAACGCGAGAGACACGGGTACAAGCTCTACAACATGGTTCGGTAATACCAAACATTTAGGTTGAACGCGGAACCCGTGGGAGCCATAGTCGTTCGACTAAATACACTCGCTGGAAGGCCTATCATTCCGCTCGATCGCTCAGCAAGAATAGCGAGATAATGAGAGGAGAGACATAATATTTTCGCCCTTCGCGAGCTCGGTCTTCCCTTCGATGGTTGGAGCAGGAGACCTTTTCCTTCGTCACGGCGGTCCTGCGAAAATAGTAATTTCAGGCAAGATTAATTATCGTATTCGGGTGGGATTGAATTGGTTAAAATTTGTAATGAACAAATTGCACAGGATGGGTATCGGTTGAAAGTGAGAAATATGAAAAAATTGAATGATTAAAGGGTTTACCTTGAATTTATCGGAGTCTCGTAAAGTGGACTCTTTCGCGGGGTTGGCGGAGAGACCCCAGGCTGGCCAACCAGAGCGCAAGAGCGTCCTTCCGTTTGTTCGTCCGGACGCTTTCTACCTCTCGGCAGCCATTAGTCGCACCCTGCAAATTGAGTGGCGCCTGCTAGGTACGCGCCTGATTCCATTAAAGACATCAAACGGGCAAAAATTACATCAGCAGCCACCCTCCACTCTGCACCGAGCTGTATTAACGTGCCGCACGTAGGCACCCCTGGAACACTCTCGAACGCCGTTCTAGAACACACGTGTTTAACGCACCAGGACTGTTCCCCTGTTCAACCCTTACCTCGTACGGTGATTTTCGGTAAGATTTTTCCATTTTTTCGATATATTTTTTTCGCCGAAATTACGCTTCGCCACTTTTGGTTGTCAAGGTTGTATCTGGAAAAAAATATATATACGTTAGAAAAACCGGAAACCATCTTCGATGCACAAGTGCCAATTAATTGCTAATGTTTGCTAATCAGCCGGCATGTCTTTTCTGAACTCGATTAGTTCAAGAAAAAAAAGGAAGGGCGTTGGTAAAAACGTTTTGACACGATTTTACATCGGCAGTTCATATCGGAACGATGGGAGAAGCCATGGCAAATCTGATTTACGAGCGCTTTATTTGATCATATTTTGCATCGGCTTTGACGCTCGCGTCGAGAGGGATGCTTTTAAAATATATTACGCGTTGCGGTACTGCGACGTGAGGAGGTGCCGAGGAGGGATCGACGACGGGGTTAGAAGGAGAAGAAAAAAAGGAGACCGCATCAAGATGCCTACCCTAATTATATACAATTTCTTTTTCTTTCATTCGCAGATATAACAATTACACGTACCAGCTCGAAATCGTCAACCATACCAAACACCATTTTACCTAGTAAAAATATTTTCCTAATAAAACAGTCTATTAAAAGTAAAATCAATAACCTCCAATGACCAAAGAAATATTAATATTCAATATCACTAGCATAAATAGCACCTATGCTACATAGGCATATATACGTATATATTATCTTAAAAGGGGGAGAGAGGGGGGCATATCAGTTTCGAGAAATATAAAGCCGACTGTCAGGGTCGCCCATCTTGTTTTTCCGAAACGTGTAGAAGCGTCGACGCCCAGCGTCGACCGAAAATAATATTTTATTCATACGCCGTCGACGTGCAAGCCAGCGACGCCTCAGGTAAAATAATGCCGGTCCGCCGCTCGGTTAGGTAAGGTTATTCTATATCTCCAGCCCAGAACACAGAGAACAAGGAGGAACAATGGGAAAATGTTCCTGTCGCTTTGTACACATTTACATACCGCATCCGTGTGTGTAGCGACGTGTGAAATTCACCCTACCCGGTCCCACTCTGCGTCCCACCCCTGCAGCACCCGGATCTCCCACCCTAAACCATCCTCACCCTCTCCCGACATCTCACCGCGTCCCCCCAACCGCCCCGTAACGCTCTCAGCATTCCCTTACTCACGTGACGCTTCTCTTCGAAAGCCCGAAGGCCTGTCCGGGAATCCTCATGAAATATTCCAAAGGCGCAGAGCACGCTCCATCTTGTCTGTCGTCGATACGAGATCCTCTTTTCAGTATTTTCATTTCAACTCCAGTCCCCGATCCATACCGAAAATTCATGGTTATCCAACAGACAAATTAGGTTGGGTTTAGACATGAATACTCCAGATAGCAGACGTTACTAACAGTCAAGAATCTTCCATCTGGAAACAACAGTGGTACCATCTATCGGCAAGCGGATAGATTCGAGATAACGGTACACCGGGGACTGTCAATTATTTTCAAAGTTTCCTCAGAATATCACAGGTCGAGCTAGTAACTTCGTGACGAGGGGTAGGTGGTCAGGTTGTGGAACAGGAGGCAACATCTTCCGGTACCGGGAAGAAGTCCGTAACAAGCAGGACAGACCCGGAAGCAATTAAATACTTGCGCTCGGCCGAAGCCATTGTTGACGTTTTGATTCGGTATCTCGAATCGAGTCGAATCCTCGACGTTGCCGACGTGCGCTGGTTGACGTCGTTTCATTCGAGACGTTTATTGGGCCAACACGCGCCAGGGTGCCAGGGGTACCACAACTATAGAAATACTAAAAGTAATAGCAGTATGCACTGAGAGGACTGGCTGGGGGGTCTTTAAGGGGGGGCTGACTGAACGTAGGGTGAGCTTTGTGATCGACACTGGCGAAACAAATTCAATCTAATCCACCGCCTATAAGCTACTTTCTTCTCTGCCGTGTAAGGACTTCCGGAAAATAATGATTAATTGTTGTACCACGAAAATCTTGATCCTCGCCACGTGCATACTTGAACCCTATCGTGTTTATCTGTCACTTTGCGTTTATTCTCCGGCATTCGATCTACGTCATGGAGTCTACACTTAACGAGATTAATCATTACGAATAAAATTTATCGAATGTATCACTGTGATGTGAGGATTGTTATTTATCTTATTAATAAGAAAGATGTGGGAAAGAATTAATTTGTAGTAACCCCAAAAGAAAAAGGGAGAACCGCCAGTTTCTGAGGGATAATGAGATATCTCATACCTTGAGTTCTTTATATACAAAAAGAAGGGTGGAGAAAAAAAACCAGGTTTCATGATCCTCCTAAGCATCGCAGCTGATTTGATTTTCGGCGGTGAGTCAAGCGAGCATAATCCACAAGCGGTGTAAACGGCGTCACTGGCGTTGATGCTGGTACAGAAGTCTCTGGCGCTTCCCGAGGGAACCACGGGATGGCTTCTTCTCTCTCTCCGGTGTAATCAAGTTCCTGGCCGCACACGGGCAGCGACTACAGCCGAACATCCCTCAAATCCCGCACGCTGTGTATAACCCGTAATCCGACGGTCTATTCTATGCAGGACGACAGTGTATCGTAAGCCGGTAATACGTACCTCGCATAATGCACGTACGTTATGTAATATAGATTCGTATATGGGTATATTTCCTGCCATATATACACTTCGGATATTAATGTAAAGCGTCAAAAGGAAGACCTTCCGCGACAGACAGCGAACAGTTTCGTCGATTGAATACGAGTAAAAATTAGTCCCTATACAAAGGTAACCATAAATTCAAAATAACGTCGAGCATAGATGAACTTTTATAGAATGAAAAGCATTGGTAATAAGTTGTAATTTATAATACGAGAAATCGATGCAGTGAATTGTACTTTTGCTTTCTTTTATATAACCGGAAAATAAATTCGATGTTAGAAATGTATTAGTTGTAACTGACGTGATTTCATAGTACCTTGCGTGACCGTTGGCTGAGCTAAGTTGGTAACAGTGGAGTGGCTCTAGCTAGTTAGTGGCTTTAGGGCCTTCTGCTGTTGGTCGTGTCGCTGCGTGTCAGGACGCGCATTTATTTGTCTCGGCGCGAGTGAACCGACGATAAAGAGGGTCGCGCGAGCGTTGAATTCAGAGCATCGGTCATCATTATGTTTGCCCGTATTTGTTCAACAGCTGTTATCCGACGGGCATCTCTGTCGGCACATCAATATCTCGCCACAAGGTACAACACAGTTCGAAACAACATGGCGGGTGGATCTCCATAATGAGCGCAGTGACTTGCACCTCCGAGCCAGAACGCATTAGCCGTATTTGCATTTAATTGCTGGTTGTTTGTTTGACGTCCGTGCCGGGAGAATTAGGCGAGAGACATTATTATATTCAGCCCGGCCATGTGTCACTGGTTTCTTCTTGCAAGACCGATAAACATATCCGCCGTGAAGTGTGGTGTTAAAAGTGTACCTCCGTGTGTTTCGAATCGTCGACTTTACGTCAGTGAAAGGAAAACGAAAGCTTTCGAAAATTGTTTTTCAAAGCTTTCAACGTATTTGGCTCATTGGAATTCCACTCGCTGAGTTCAGAGTTCGGACGCCTCGACGTTTTCCTTTGTAGATACGCCGAGCGTCCTGGACCTTTGCTTGCGATGATCCTACCTATCGCGATTTTAAATCGTGTCTGACCCAACTCCTCGTCCTCATCCTCGTGAACCTTCTTTTTCTTCTTCTCTTTAGAACAGATCCTTTTCGCAGGACTTTCAAAGCACCGCTGACCTTTGCCAGTCATTTAGATACGGATCGATCTTGCCCACCGCCATGTTTTAAACGCTTCTTTCCATTTTAGTTTCCTCCGGCTTTCCTTTCTTCTCTCTGTCTGTCTTAACGTCCCTTAAATTGCTGCAAATATTCCATAGATATTACAAAGTGAAGGAAATCAAAATTAAATTTCATTATTTCTACACAAAACATACTTTGGTGCACCCGACTTTTCTTAGTCGACTATTACATTCCTAAATTCGCGCTATTTCGAATTCTTCGATTAAAGTGGATCGCGAATCCCGAGGGTTTTGAAGGGTCGATTATGGTTACCGAGCCACGTGTATCTGAGACAGTTGAACGGTTACAGAAATGGATGCTGGATAGATGAAAAGCCTAACCGAATCTTATTCCGTCTCATCCATTCCATCTTCCCTTTCATTCATTTTGGGTATTCCGCCAATGTTACCATCACCATCATCATCACCAACACCATCTCCAGTGACTCGCCTGCTTTTCCTTCCTCGCTTCCTCGTCTCCCTCACTCCGTATCCCTTCGATCCCTCATCCCTCCGCTTCGGGCTTCCTACCCTTCGGCAACCAATCCCGAGTAAAGTTTGTTACACAACTCGGAGAACTTTCCAAAATGGTCTTCTTGGCTTTGCCAAGTAAGCGTTCTCTCTCTTTCTCTCTCTCTCCCCCTCCCTGCCACCCTCCCTCGTTAAGCAGACTTTGTGCCCTTCGGAGAAACCGCTGCGACTCCCCAAAGACTCCATGATATCTTCCACTGACTCATGCTCGATATAACTTTTAGGATCCATCAATGAATCGTTTACCAATATCCGTTTTATTATTTTTTTTTACTATATAACTGGCGTTTCTATAACAAATTTCAATTTCTTTTTACAGGGAAATCAGTGGTTTGCTTCAAAATTGATAAGCTACCTTGTGACAATTTCCAACAGAGAATACATTGGTAAAAATTTATTTTTATTATTTATTTACTTGGGTGTTATCACAAAATATAAGTCAATTTGTATTATTAATTTTTTTCTGCAGGTTCCTATGATCCTCGCATGGACTATCGGAAATAGTACTGAAATGTTTCAGTGGAAATTCTACTTGAGGATTATGCAATGGATATGATCAGCCTATACAGAATACATTTCTTTTTACATTTTCTCATTATCAGTTGTCGTACATGTCGCCAGAATTGACACACGTATTTAAGTAGAATCTCGACTTATAGGTCATTATATATGGATTATTAAACGGTACGATTTTAGCTGCTTCTATTAGTTACATTAACTATGAATCCAGATATAGATTAGCGCTCATCATGATTATCAGAGTATCGATTAATATGCTTAAGAGAAAAGTTTTTGCAATATTAAATCTTCGATTAACGTTCTCAATTCGTCATAATGGTTTGAAGATGATTAGCCAACAAATAATTATACTGAATAGATATTTATGAATAATTTGTAATCATTTGTAAAATTAAGCATTTTTAAATTGTTAAAATTATATATTTTTTCCAATGAAGATAAACTGTTACCGATTATCTAATGTTAAACGAACGTTTACCTATTTTCTAATAATTTATTTTACGCTTTACGCTAAGTTAAGTAACTGAGCAAGACCACTTGCTCGCAAATGAATATGAATTTCATTGCGATTAGAAGTGCACATGCGGGAACTTAAAATGCACAGTGATAACGAGGTGATAACTCTTTTTATTATGCACATAAATCAAGACCTCTCACTTGACGTATTTTACTGTGTTACTTTAACGCGATTTGCATGTGGCTATATCCTTTTATTTATAAGATCATTAAAAGTTATTGATTTATTAGACCGTTTATTGGCTGTTTTTTTTAATGATATAAATAGAAGAGAAAGCAGAGAAATCCGAAAAAATATATATAAGTCACGTGCAGAGTTGGGTAAAATGATGATATCTATGAGTTTTTAACATGTCATGTAGACTACCTGGTATTATACGTCGAAAATGTAGAAAACGTCGAATACGTCAACAACTAACCTAACCTCATTTAAAGCACATCTAAACTGTATACCAATGGGCAATGATTAATATTTTTTATACTTTTTATAAATTGTCAATCTTGAGAAAAGTTTGTGGATGAAATGATGAGTGCCAAGAGTGCCAAGACTAAAGGTCGTGTAAGTAATCAAAAATAAGTAAAATACCTAGTATACTACATGTCGAAAACCATGTAATTTACATCGAGTATCCTACCTACCCAACCCTGGTCACATGTAATCAATTACGTTTATAGAAATAGTAATTTTCGCTAATTTTAAGTTTATTTTACTACGTAGGAATAGAGCAGTGCTACCACCTTGTGGATATACCGAATATGAATTTTGAGGGGGTTGTAAAATTACCTCACGCGTTTCAGGATAAGAGAGTACTCTGCACTTTATTGATCTTTAAAGTTGATAATGTAGATTCCTAGAGACGAACCTTTTTTTTTACCATGGGAAATATCTGTTTTACCAACATTATAGATTACGTTTTATTTATTTCTCAAAAAATGGCGTCTTGAGCATAGCGCGTGATATTCACCGTTGGAAAGACGTTAGATCCTTTTATACATCAGAAAAATAGAACCGCTTATGAGTAGGATGGACAGCGACAATGAAGATCTTCCAGAATTGTGTGAAATTAAAACTCCCAGCCCCTTGACATCGAACTCAGGTAAACGTTACTGTCTAGGTTTGAATTTGGTAAATTGTCAATCGCTGGATTCAAAAATCAAAAATCTTATGTCCTGACAAGTTTCAGAGATTCATATTTTACGTGTAAAATAATTGATTAATATGTAATTAAGATAATGGCAAAAATATATACTCACAGAAAGCGAAAATGAAAGTGACATTATGATGCCATCCATATTGGAAGAGATTACGCCACCATCCGAACCTGAAAAGTCAAATATCTTGATTTCCGAAAAAGTTCACGTAACACGAGGTGAGCTATGAGGTCATCAATTATATCATATATAATATACTAAGGTATGGCTAGGTATATATTATTTACATTCTATATCTGTACATTGAATTTTGAAAATCAGTTCGATTAAAATTTAATCAGATTCGATAATCTCGAAGAATTCCAAGGAGGAGATCCAAGATGATAACAGTTCTGAAGAAAGTTCACCGTCGGCATTGAAGAGGCGACTTCATGACCTTCCGAGGGTCACTGTGCCAATGAAGATGGCGGATAAAGCTGCAGCTCGAAATCGTCGAACTCGTCAAGAACGTGACGTTTACCTTAATCTTCGAGGATCTTCCAACAGGATCGACGAGAAGGACGAGGTCGAATTAACATATGACTGTATTAAGCATATACCGAGGGATGCTAGGGAGCGAAGAAGAAACAGGATAGACTCTCCTTGGGTATCTTCAATGTCTGACAGTCAGGCGCTTTTTTCTGTGAAATCTTTGCGCCATGAAGAAATTCCTAATAGTAGTTCTAATAAAGAATTAAAAATGCCAGATATTATTCAAAGAAAAACATCTTTTCAAATGTCGGGAAGCTCTGTAGCCGAAGACTTTGAGAACGCTGAGAAATTGATAAATCCACGGTACAGATCGCAGGATTCAGCTAGATCGTTGCCAGGCGAAGTATCTTTTGGTGAACGGCATCATTTTGAGAAACGTGTCCTGAAAAGTGCTAGGAAAGACGCTGTAAAAAGTGCTGAATATAAAAATTCTGATTTACAGCCTGAGCCTGGTTTCTGTTCCATTGGCGACGGCTCATCCCTCTTTACGTATTATTCTACGAATCCTGGGAAATCTAGGAACTGTCGGTCTTTCATTGGAAATCGAAAAATTTATTCCGATACTGATTCTGATTCTACCAATGAAGCTGTTGCTAGAAAAGTACGGCAAAATCGTAGGATAAAGAGAGCATTTGAAGAATTTCAATCACGCAATGAAATTTTGGAAAATGAAGTTAAGCAAAATGATAAAATTTCGAATGATTCTCGTCCCAGTTCCGCAAAGATCAATATGATCGATGGGGATGCATATTCGAACAGAAGAGTTTCGCCAATTTCGGAAAACGTACATTTTCTTCCTAATGTCAAGGACGATCGTGAAATATATTTTCCGGGTAATAACGGCAAACTAATGTACAGAAACAGTGTACGGGATAAATATTTTGAAAAAAGGTCACAAAGTCAAATAAAATCAAGGAGGAAATTTTTTGAATTGGACAATTTATCCAAGGAAATAAGCAACTCCGAAAATAATTCAAATTGCTCCTCAGTTAATTTGAGCGATACTGCAACTTCCAAAATATCAAAAAATGAAATTACCGCTGTTAATATTCCAATATTGAAATTAAAATCGCAGGATCTTTCACGATCAACCTCAATCACCAGCAAGGAAGATTCAGAAAAAAGAGCCTTAGATATGAAGGCATTGATAACAGCTTTATCGGATGTTTCCTTAAAGCAAAATGATGACAATTTAGAATCCAAAAAACAGGAAGAACACAAATTCTGTATATCTTCAGGGAAGAAATCCTCGCAATCAGCATCCGTTACGATTAGTAATGAACAATGTTCTACCCCCTTTGAATTAAATGATTCGGAGAAAAGTCATACATCAAGATCTCTACGATACAATTCAAGGATTCCAGTGAAAGTTCAAAGAAGTTTGAAAACTATGAAGAGATCATCAATAAGTGATAATGAATTCGAAAGTACTTCTGAAATCGAAGATTATCGAGTACCCGTTGCGAAAATTGCAAAAATGAATTTACTGTGCGAGCAAGAATCTACGAATAATTCGGAATTCGATAGATCCCCAGTTTCTTCTAGAAAAGGTATAGATTATTCGAAATCTGCCAAAACAAGTGCCAGATCATTGAAATCTTTACACTCTCCGTGCAGTGAACAAAAATTCAGTATATCCAGAATTGAAAATGGAAAATTAAATGAGCTGCAACCATTAAGACGTCAAAATTTGGAACCAATAGAACTGGAATGTCATAATGAAGCAAAGAAAATATTAAGTCCTAATTATGAAAAGGCTGAAAGAAATTTAAAAAATGATATTGAAATGATTATTATTAAAGATTATTCAAGTGTCTCGAATGACAATCAGCATTCAAATAATTTTGACAAACTTTTATCTGGAGGTCCTGAAGGATCAAATGAAAATTTGAATATCAGAAATTCAGATGCTTCTAAATACCCAAAAGCACTTAAGCAAATATTCAAAGAGGACTTTCATGAACAATCATCAAGCGAGAGTGCAATCTCTGTAGAGGATTTTCAAAAGTCATCCTCTTCGACCAATGTACAGACCAATGTTTTTTCTTTCTGCGAAGAGGGTAATACTTGTCTGAGTGAATCCCTATCGATACAAGATGAAACACAGAAAGAATCCACTGCAGTTCCACATCATGAGACTTTTTGTGATCTCAGGCAAGAAATTAAATTGGAAAAAATGGTCACTGATGAGAATGTCGATAATCAATTGATAAGAAATCCGGTTGAGAAAATTTGTTTTTTGGAATCCATGGAAAAATTAAGTATAAATGACCCTGACGACGAGCTACGTTTACCAAGTAAATTGCATTTGGAAAGATCTAAATTGAAAAAAGAAGTATCCAAAAAGCAAGAGGATACAAACGAATCAGTACAAATTTCTAATACAGAATCATTCAAACCTCGTTGCTACTCTTCGATCCTCCCTTTGTCTTATTTCGATGAAAAAAAAGAATCAGAATTTCAGGAAAACGAAAAAGGTGATAATAAAATTCACTCAACTAAGACTGTAGAATATTTGAATTTGAAAAAAATGTCCAACAATCTCCTACGATCAAATAACGAAAAACGAACGAATCATCTAACCCAAACTGGACTCGTTTCAAAACTCAAGAGAAATTTCGAGGACTCGCAAGATCAAGAAGTGAAAATGGAAATCTCTCAAAACTCCTGTTCCTTGTTTAAAAAAGAACAGCCGACAAGTAATTTGCCTGAAATTAATATTTCTACTCCGATAAAATTTGAAAAATCCTGTAGTGGATCTTCGTATCGTCATCCGAAGGTGTCTGAATTTTCGTCCTTGCAAATCAGGACATCATCCTCAGAGTCAAGGTTACCAACTGGAGCACAATTCCTAAAACAAGAAACTCTGTTAGCCATGCGAAACAGTCAGGAACGTTTTCCATTTACAATTTCCGAAAGCACCAGTAGAAGATCCTTGAAATTCAAAGTTTCTGGCCAAACAAAGGATACCTTTCGAAAGAGTCCTTCAGATCCGCGAATCTTTGCGATTAATAAAAATAAAAATGGACCCACTATTTTTGAAGACATTGAAATACCGTCAAGTTTCATCAGTCTTAGACCTACGCAAAATGTGGGCATGTTGGAATCGAACATTTCCGCACTTAGTGCTGATCAAACGGACACGCGTAATTTGGTACCGAGGCTCAAAGGATTCGTGAGAAGATTTTCAACGAGACTCAAAGGAAGAGCAAAGGATAAATCCGTCAGTACCATGGAGGTCCTTTATAAAAATACAGAATGCCACGTAAATTCGAATCAGGACAGCTGCGCTAATTCTTCCGGAAGCGGAAGTGGTCAGAATCGTATACAATTAGGCTCCGTTGCACAGGACATGGAAATAGGATTTAGTTCATCCAGAGAAAAATCCTTAAAGGCACAAAATTCCTGGGTTCAGGCTCCTGCCAAAAGTCAAGAATTTGATGACATCTGGATTCAAGAATTCGACTCCGAGAACGAATCCGACGATGTACAATTTGGCCATTTATCACCAGAGAGTAAAACAACTCCAGTGAAAAATTCGGCAGATCCTTATTCTGTATTTTTAATTAAAACAGAAACGCCGAAAAATATGACCAACAGTTTCGAGATTTCTCAAAAGAAAAAAAAATTTGCAGAAAAGTTTAAAAAATCATACTCAACACCGACGATACCCATGGATTCAGTAATGAATGACATATTCGATCTAAGGGCTGACGAAGACTTGGAAAATTCAGACTTAGAAAATGGCTGTCTCTGTTTAAAATTTTGCCAAGTGATAAGTCAAATTTCTATAGGAACCAAAAAACGTGTGAAATATGAATTACCACTAAATCGAAGATTCCGTGCGAGGATAAGGAAGGAATCGTAAAACGATAAAAAAATTTTAATCGTTTACCACCTTATCCACCGTCGATAAGTTAGAATCAATAAAGTCAATGACACCGTACGTAACTGGTAAAACCAGATATGATCCAAACAATTCCTACGTCAACCACCATGACATCATTCTGCAAAGAATTAGCTAATTCCAAGGATCATGCCAAAATAATTGTATAAATTATTAAATAAATCGAATGTACTGCCCAACGAATAGCCGCATGATTCTCAAAAAAAAATAAGATTCCAAAAAAAAAACCGTCAAGATAGATCGTTCAAGTACTTTATTCGTTCGTCGTTTCGTACATCTGAATTTCTCCAAATAATTCCGTCGCCCTGATCTCTGTTCGTATCAACATTTTTTTGTCGTACGAGTGAGAATCCTTCCATTAAGTTTGTCGCTTATCGTGTTATCACCTTAATAAAACGTTCCATCGCTACGTATTAACTTATTATTACTCTGTAATTATAATAATTATTATAATCATCATCGTGATCATTATCATTATAATCATCCTCACCATCATCATTACCATTAATATTATAGAAAAAATAAGTCTTTAAATAATCACATAAGAGTCGTCGAGTGTTCCGGAAATCGGGAATGGGTCTAGCATAGGGAAATCGATAATTTCCCTTAATTCCTTTTTCTTTTCTTTTTTTTAAAAGGACATCACTGCAGCATCCGTATAAACGAGAAGCGTGAAATTTTACATCAATGTAAAACTGCCGCCATTTACGATTCTCTTAGTCGTTCATTTCCGCTCAATTTTCCGTCTATCGTTATATTCTATCGAATCACTCGTGTACATCAAGATCTATAGGATCAACTATCGTACGAGGAAGCTGCCCAAATAGAAAACGATCAACATGGAATTTCATGCTCGAGACATTGCCATCTCGTAACGAAGAATCCCAACCGATCGCGTAAATTGAGAAAACGGATTAATTCTATTAAATTGATTTCCTCAATAATCGGCAGTTCATCACCCGTATTACGGACGTGGACTGGGCACCTTTAAAGAAGAAGGTGATCGAAGTCGATATCCGAAACACGATTACTAGCTACTTAAATACACGCACGACTAATATAATTCCAACAACCAATTTCACCAGCCCGATGTCTACGTATCTTGGTATCACATTATAAATCACCATTGCACGTCCGATCGGCAATTCTGTATTTGTTTAGTCCTCGGCAACTAGAAAAATAGTAAATTTCACTGGATAACTACATCAAACTGAATCCTGCTGAGTATGACTGTTGAAACTGTGAGCGACTGAGTTATGGATGATCTAGGTACGTAGATTGAGATATTGGGAGCGGTACGGAAACGGACGAGAGAGATGATAATGGAGAATAAAAAGGAAAAACCAAAAAAAAAGCATTTTGAACCAGTCAATCGATGAGTGAACAGAACCTGAATCGCGTTCGTCTAACTAAAAAAAAATCTGCTCAGATCGGTTTAAATTGGCAGAAGGATTCCGTGCGCGAGCAGTGACCAATCGACTCGCCGCTAACGACAGGACGGTGAGGTACACGAAGCGGGAAAATTCAAACGTGAAAAACCGATGGTACTCGGCCCCTCGGGGATAGTCGAGGTCAGTGCTCGGCCATGCGTTAATGCAACTCGCTTTTACACCAGCAATTACTCTCGTTTCGGCCGTACGATAACGGACCCAGTTCGGGATCCCCGCTGACTCCTAGATCGAACCCGGGTAGTGCTACTTCGTGTCGTTATTGGACGGGATCTCAGAAAGTGACATCACAACGGGGGTGGAATGGAAAACTCCTTTCGTACATAAAAGAGAATGTAAGGCTTGCACTTTGCGACCGATTCGGTACTCGCAGGTCGCACGGAACTGTCGTTGAAGTGGAACCATTGGCCGTCGTGAACAGCAAAGGCAGTGTAGTGTCCGGTTCCGGCCCTGAAAATATGCGTTATCATTGTTAAGGTCTCCCGACGTTCCGAGACTTCCGTATGTTCGTTTTTGTGCCATTTGAGGAAGTATTACCCGGAGCCATGATGAACTATGACAGCGGCTAGATCGTAAAGGTGACTGTTTTGAGCTCCTAGCTTCGTCCCAGTGACCCCGCGTACCGTATACGCGGACATGTCTAGGGACTCCATAGGAAAATCCACCTGGGTGTCGACCTTCAGGCGATAGGAATTGCACCATCTAAATCGTTTGATGTGAAGGCATAACACCTGAAACGAAAATGACAAGAGATATGGCTTAACGATTGGATACGACCTGGAGTAAGATCTAGGACAATGAACTCACATTAGGCAGCCTGTGTATCCAGAACCTCTTGGTAGAACGTTGCTTCCCCATGCAGTTGTCACAGAAGTAGAGTTCGCTGTCCGCCAGTTCCTCGACCTTGAAGAATCTCGTGAGGCTGTAGGTAAGGCTGCAGACTTCCTCCTGCTCCTTGGTACGTCTCTGCAGTCTCTCGGGAATGTCCAGGGAGAGATCCTGGAAGGGCTCGTGGGTCTTCGAGTCCGTACGGCAGTTCATACAGTGCACCTGAGCGACGAAACGTGTTCAAGAGCCAAAGAGTCTCCGGAACAGATCGTTCCCGAACGTATCCTCGACGCACTCACCACACTGAGTAGAGTGCCTCCGAAAACGGCAGTGACTATACTCTGCTTTCCCCGAAGACCCAGGGGCTCGTGTCCTAGCCTGGGTAGCAGTTGAAGGAGTTCGGTGTGGAGTCTGTCGAGCATGTAGGTGAGGAACTCGTGAGCGTCCTGTTGCTGGTAACCACGAAATCGTGGCACCACCTTCCAGATGACCAGGAAGAGGCACTCCGGCGAGATGGCCTGACCGTTCGAGCCCCCAAGACTCAAGCCCAGAAGCACTTTGCGAAGCTCCTCGGCCAGCAAAGCGTCGCTGAGCTCCTTGGCCCTACCTGAAGCCACGATGCGGCCCCTGTGCGTCGGAGGCTCGTCGAACGCGATACCCTCCAGACTCGGCATCTGCGTCAAGTACTCGCAGAAGTGGCTAATGTTATTGAAAGACTGTAATACTACGTTCATAAAGCATGTGTTCCCTAAATTTCTCAGGCCCACGACCTTCTTCTCTTTGGTTATTTTCGAGCTTTTTCTTTTAGCCACCGGCCTGTTCTCTGCGCTTGAGCCGTCCAACGAGTGGGAGCGCTTTCGCGTCCTGGGCCTTAAATTACGTACGACCACCTCGCCCTTCCACAGAGCGTCCGGGTCATTCTCGCTCTCTCTCGGCGAGGAGTTCCAATTCTCATCGTTCTCTTTGTGCTCGCCCTTTTGGAAGGCACTGCGTCGGATCTTCTCAATCTGACCACTCGTTGTGTCGTTCACCACGTACTCGTCGCAGGAGTAACTGAAAGATTTTGAAAATATTTAATGACGTCACTGCCCTCGCCAACCTCAACCACATAACATGCTTCATTTTCCTTACCAAAATACCGCCAGATTTTCACAGTCTATGCACACGCAGTGCTGAGTATTTTTTTCATGATGCTGCATCGCATGACCTGCCACGTACCTGCCGCAGTGCACGGCTCCACAGTGAAGGCACAGCCAAGTACTCTTCTCCGTGCCGCATACTGTTACGAATAAACAGAACGTCATTTAGATTGCTGCTGCTGCAAAATTTACGTGGAAGAAAGTCCGACGGTAAGTATTATTAGAGAAACAGGACCCGGCGTCGTTGGATCATTCGGAAAAAGTGAGAGTTAAACTATATTTGGGCTATACGTCCAGCATGAATCACGAGTAACGGATGGAGATTGCCTAATGCAAAAAAAATGCGCCGAGGCTAAATGTCAAATTCGGTACAACGGTAACACGCAGTGGATACATGCGCGAGCGAATGAACGTTGCACGTTAAGGAATTACGCTGTCAATTTATCAAAACGTCATCGTCAAACTTACAATCAATTAGCGTATGCGAGACATTTCTTCGAAATGGTAAACGAACTGCCGGTAAACGTTAATTGGTAACTTATTAAGGATTACTGGAATACAGTTATCACTGAGCTTCGACTTTTCGCCAGACTAGCTTGCAAGTATCCGATGGTTTTAGGACACACGGTATATTCGTGGATTGTTGATCCTGAAAATTCACTTAAAAAGCGTGGATCATTACGATATCTCTGTATGGTAATTGTACGTAAAAATAGCTGAAAGCAGTATATGTCATTTGACATTTATAATTTAATAAAAAATTAGAAAATGCATTATATAGCAATATAATTAGTCGCGTTGATCAGGCTTTTTTTTCGATATATAGGCTTTTAATTCGATGTATAGAAATAGATAAAAAGAAGAGCGTATCCTTACAAAAAGAAAAAGGACAAAAAATAATGCTGTTTATACAGTTTAACGAAAGTGAGTTTTCTTCCGGAAAACGTCAATTTTACAATCGTTTCTTTGAAGCACGGAGACAAAGTTTTTGACGAAATAAAAATAAAAAAGAAAACTAGAACATTCCAAGACTTCCATAAAGACAGTAGTCGGAGTCGCGAATTCACGGATGCGATGGTCAGCGACGTCGAGGACAAAAAGAATTATGGGAGAGGCTGGCGTCGGTTAGTTAATCGCGGTAAGATTACCAAGAGTGGTAAAACGACAGGATTTTAAAAGGTGCCCTGCCACTGTGAATCGAGGCCACGTCGATAATGCCGAAGGGAGAGGACGCCGAGACGAAGGCCGAATACTTATTACTCTTGAGGAACGGAGGAAGAAGAAAAAAAGAAGAAATTATCATTTGGTTTTAAAAACGTAACGGATCCCGAAAAAGATTTCGAGCTGAAACCATAATACGTCCACGCGCGTCCAGGGGCGTCGGTCGTAGGAGAGAAATAAAGAGAGAGAGAAAAAAGGAAGGCTCTCGAGAAAATGGGGAACCCGATGCGATAAAACGGTCTCGAGCCATCTGATTAGTAAGGTCGGTGTATCGATTTCGCAAGCAGCCAGTCGGTCGACCAACGAGTATAACGCATATTGTCTGCACGTTGCACGTAGCGTGAAATACGAAAGTCTTAGAAAGAAAGATATATACATTGTGAGAATAAATGGTGAGTGAAGAAGCAAAAAAAAAACGTCACTCTAGATCTCTTCGAATTTCCATACTTTCAATGCTCGATCGGCACAGTCTGCAAATATTCGGATCGTAGACGTTGATAACGCGTGAGCGTTTAAAAAAAAGTATGACGCGCACGCTATGGCTTTTCGAATTAATCGTTTTACACGTTTACGTTACAGTAATTTCGTACTGGGTATCGAGCTCTCGTGCATTGTGCTATCTCTAGTACGAAAATACAGGGTGATCGAAAAACATTTACCATTTGAATGCTCAACCGTTGACGAATGGAAATTTTAAAACGTTCAGGATTTCGCATTTCTCAGAGTCGCCCGAGCTCTGCATTCTCCTTCAGGCTACTCTTTGTAAACATAAAATCCCGTCCCCTTGAGCGTCCAGCCTGGGGATTTTGTATCACACGACCGATCGGTCTGGACGTTACGAATTATGGGAAAAACTTTTCCAACCGCTATGGCCATGCCGAGCATAGAAATCAGCGAGAGTATAGTGAATTCCTTTGAATTATTGAAAACGCAAAAAGAGACGGTAGTATTACCATGGCGGACTAGACGTCACGTGTTTAATTCTGGATGGTAACGAAAAAAAAAGGTCTAGTGGAAAAATGTACGGATAGACAAAGGGAGAAGAAGCGGGGAGCTATTAAGAGAGAGAGAGAGAGAGAGAGAGAGAGAGAGAGAGAGAGAGAGAGGAACGGATAGACGCTGTACGAGTAGTGCCGAGCGAGAGTCTCAGGTGCTCCGTTGGTAAAGTTGAGACGAAGCAAAGGATGAAGTGCGGTGAAAGAGAGAGAACGGAAAAGGTTGGTAATTCTCCGGGTGATCGAAGGGAAGTCTCGAGAAGCACGTTCTGCCGTGTAACCCAAGGGAGGTGAAACGACGAGTATCGCTCGAGGGGACCGTTACCCGGCGAGTTCTAATGACGGATCTCCAGCCAGCTGATTAGTGCCGTCTGGTATTGATTTTTCAATGATGAGAGCGCACAGAGTTAACGTGGGACAGTGGGAACAGGAGCGGAAAGAGCAGGGGACAGGAGGCAACGTCCTCGGCGACAGCATCTTCGACAGGAGCACCGGGATAAAACAACAGAAGCCGACGACGACGGTATCAGAAGGAAAATAGAAATTGCAAAGACGGCATAACGCTCGCACTAACTGTCAGCACGTAGGGACACTTACTGACGGGGGAGGGGGTCCACTCTTTGCAGGACCAGTGTGGCCACGCACGCGCACACACGCACACATTAATATGCACACACGGAGGACACACACGAGTACACAAGACGCATATTCCTATTGATAATAGGATAAGGTGAAATGTGCTTGAAATTTTCTCCGATCTCTCGGTTGAATGTCCGTGTACGTAGGTAGCGTAGGCAGTGCCGGCGTAATGCTTTTCCGGGAAAAGTCAGATCGTGTTGGCGGCGACGACGACGTACCAAGGCCAGGAGAGGAGCAGCCTGGCTTGTAGGAAAGGGCTGTGTGAAGGGAACGAACGGAGAAGATACAAACGTAGGGTAAAAGTCGAGCCGTGATTTTACCTGCGCAGACGAACGGTAGATCCTTTGTATAAGTTGCCTCAACGTCGTCGGCGTCGAGACGGACGCCTTGGGCAAGGTGCGGGCACTCCATTCTCTTCCCTGCACGGGTTTACTGGGACCTGGTGGGCCCCTTGTGCCTTTCTGCGTCCTTTCCCGAGGGTACACTGGCGTGCCCCACGATATCCGTCACATAGCGAGGAAGCCCGGTCGTAGGCCACCAAAGAGGGATACGCGTCCAATGCGTAACGGCGACCGACTGAGAGCAAAGTGTCAGGAACCAAGAGCTCGAAGGTCTCTGAGACTTCCAGAAACGAAAAGTCTGGAGCTCGAAATTCTACGCCGAGCAAACGCGACTGGTCGAGTCTCGATTGGCTGCTCTCGCGAGCCTCGAGTGTCGACTATTACGATTCCGAGTACGACTACGCCGCCGAGGTTCTCGCTGCTTGCTACTCGGCCACACTTGGCGCTGTCCTGCGCCTCGATGGTATAATATCCGCCACGGTTGTGCTTCCCTAGCGTCCGATAGGCTGGGTCGCCGACTGCAATCGCTGGAGTCAGGTTAAGTTGGGTTACGGTACAATGTACTTGTAGCAAGGAGGCGTAAGCCCAGGGGCGTAACTACTGAATCCTTTTCGGCTCACTTTTATAGTTTTCTAGTTTATGTACAACCTGTCTGGATTCCTAACGCATTTTCATGCGAAACTCGTGAACATTCGAGCGTGAATACTGCCAATTACAATCACTGGATCCGTCACTTGTACTATTGAAGTACGCTCTTGAGATTAATTTTATTGACGCGACTGAATGACCTACACTCGACGCCTCTTTTCAATTTTAATGCTCGAGAACAGGACACTTGTATCCTCATTCAACGCGAACGGTCTTGGAACTGATGTCAAGTTCTATGGCTGGAACGAAATAGGAACAAAGCACCGGAGAAGATGAAAAAGGTCATAGTTACTTTTCTCCCAACAGTCTCGGCTCTATTAAGATGGCTGACGTGTTCTTGCGTTACTGCGCATGCGTATTTACGCTTCTTTGACTATCTTACCTTGTTGTGTTACTTTCTTGCATATTTTGCTTGTGCTATCACGCAAGGTTTTTTCGTGCTAGTAAGTACGTAAATTCGCAAACGGATGTGAATTTTGCGAGGAGGGAAGGGAGAATAGTTTGGATAAACATAAGCGTATAAAAAAATACGTATTACGGATGCTCCTTTTTGTACGTGTCTCTGTTTTTTCACAATTACGTACGGTGAATAACGAATTGTCAAAGAAAATGTTTTCATATTGTGTAGTTCACGTATACGTTTAAATAGAACTTTAAATTGTTTGAAATGCGCAGATGGTTGCACACAAAGATAGGGATTTTTTAAATTCATGGCTGCCTCGTAACAAATGATTCTTTTGGACTTTGGATTTTTGTTTGGTTATGCATGGGTGGTATTGGATCGAATGAAATCTGGTTTAATCTTGAACGAGAAAGTTCGAGGCATTTGTCAAGTCATGAACCTAATTGTTAGATGGAAATGGCGACGAACTCCGTGCAGAGTTCGCGTGTCTAAAAGACATATCTGCTTTTGCTTTTTGTCGCAGTATTACGAATTCACGAATAAAAAGTGAAAGAAATGTAGTCACGCAGATTTTGTGAGATTGTTACATATCTATGTGCTTTGAATCATGAATGATATTCATTATTTAATAAAGTATGGGAACTATAACACAACATAACCTATGTTCAGTGACAATAGACATAAACATAGTATATTTTTCAAAGTTGAATAAACAAAGACTATATTTCGTAATTGCATTTAGATTTTGATGGACTGTTCGTAGGTGAAAGATTAAGTTTGACGTACATTACTTCTAAATATGTGAATACATGAAACAGCTCATGTGTTTTACAAGGAATGATTAACTATGCATTGCAAGAAAGTATCAAATGACATGAGACTATGAACTTTTCATTGAAATAGGTTAGGATTATACATTTTTAAACGTAAAAGTGGAAAGAGATCTAATGAATGCCAGTTTACAAGTTTATTGATATAAAACGGTAGAACTGACACAAAAGGTGGAAAGACGCTTAGGAGCGTCTGTTAAATTGGTGGGTGACAGGCTGTGTCACCTGGAGTCCAGAAAGGTTGTTAAACTCGAGCATCTTAAGCATCTCCTTGGTGTCAGGATCGACTTCAATGATGTCGTGCTCCAAAGCAGAAACTTCGGGAACATAGTTGTCTCTGCGTTCCCTCTCTTCTTCCTGCAATTTGATGGAAATGCCTCGTACTTGACAGTGACGAAGCCTCTTCATCAGGTGAGTGACATACCTAATACACAAATTAAAACTTGTTAGTTTTCACTGTAGTAGGTTATTCTTTTAAAATTCACTTAAACTTTCGTGTCATACACTTTAACGCACAATCATTTTATACACTGTCAGATCACTAAATTAAATTAAGAAATTTTATGGCGTACCCAGCAATCTTATTTTTAAGAGGCTTGCTGGGGATAATTGCAATTTCTTCACATATCCTCTTATTAGTGTGGAAGTCAAGGGTCAGGCGAGTGTAATATTTCTCGATGATCAGCTTGGCGGCTTTTTTCACCGTCTTCGTCCTGACGCGACCCTGTAAAAATATTATAATCAAAAATTTCAACCAATACACTTTTCTTACTTTCTAATGCACTTTAAGTTAGACATAAATCATCATTGCAATACATGTGTTACAACAATATCATCAACAAACTTAAACCTAACCTCTACACTCGAAACATTTAGTATCGAGCAATTATCAGTATCAAGTTTTTCAATAAATATATAAAAAAACTCAAAGAATAAATTTCTGTGAATACGATCAAGTAAATATTTAATACATTTTTCCTTAGATCAATGCATTTTACGCGGATTATAACAGAAAAACGTCAAAAATTCATACGCACCATGATTGCTAGTGTACCGGAAAAGACATGAAAGACACTAGTCAAACTGAAAGCGAAGCACAAGCGCTTCCGGCTCCTTGCGATACTTTCGAGAACTACAACATCGGGTCACTAGGCAAACATCCGAACTAGAAATTCTTAAACTGCATTACCAACAACAAAATCCTGTATTGCCAACATACCTAGTTACATATCGTCATAATAGATGTCACTAGTATATCCTTTCCATACAACATTCTACATTCACAAAACAGAGCACGTTACTGACACTTGACATCTTAAAATGTCATAAATCGTCTAGAAATCTCTGAATTAGCAGCTTTATTTCCATAATACCTCTTTAAAGACCACACAAATTGTTCTTAATAAAAGAAAATTAAAATTCCCGTGTAATCGACAGTGCTGCCCTGCGATAAGTTCAGCGCGAAGATAAAGCAGTTCAAAAATAGATTCCCGATGACTAAAAGACAAAGAGATCATCGTAAATGGATACGAGAAACAGAGATGCAATTATGTGTCGTTGGTTTGCAAGAACTCGCAGCGGGGAAGGGATCAGTGGGTCGCGGAGCGAAGGGTAGTGACGTGGTGACTCTGAGTTTCTTCGGATGGTGGGGGTAGCTCAAGGGACTGAAGGGTGGGGAGTTTGTTTATCGCCTTGGCGAACGCCGAGCAGTCAGTGCGGTGCTACACTTGGCCTGTAGTGGATCGGGCGATCGGTAGCTGGGTAAAATTCGGTCTTTGACAATTGCTCCGGGTGAGCTTCCGTGTGTCGCGGTCGCCGTTTAACGCCGCGCGCACATGTACGCGTCAGTTTGACTTGTTCGGTTCGTCGTGAAGGATCGTGTCGTGGATGGTCATGCCGCGGAGAACTGCCAAAAGATAGTAAATGATCGGCTGCGTTTATCGTGCATCGAAGAATTATTTCCATAAAATCGGCGGTACAATATAATTATTAACCCTTTGGAGTGTCGACGGATCCGCTGAAAAGTTTGCACGGTACAGAATTTCATTGGCAACCTTAAATCCCAACTATCGCGTCGACCAGTTGCGAGTTATTCGTAGATTTAACCTCTCGCAACTTTATTCTTCCCTTTTCCCCGATCAGTTGTGTCAGCTGTCCAGTGACGATTGGCCTAATACTCGTTTTCACCTTTATCTCCATATCTTTCCCTTTGGCATTTCTATTTACTTCGTACGTCACTTCGAAAGAATACGTGTATTCGAAAGCTGCCTAGAACTTTTTTCTCTCTTGTGTTTTTGAATATTAATGGAAACTTGTGACACTTTCTGGTCGGTTGACAGTGGGGAATATCTGGGTGATTGATGTGCTGCAAGTTTTGTCTACTTCCTTGAATTTGAGTAACAAGTACTTAGTTTGCTACCCTTTTTCCCTGTAGTTCCATAATTCCTCGTTACATTCCCCACAGCATCCTTCGCGTTGTTCCTGTCTCTAATAATATTTATGGCTTTAATTTCACCATTAATTCGCATACTCATACCTACCAACTGTTAGACAGTATACACGGTGCTTCATGGCCATTAGACTTTCCAAGAGATCTATCAAATTTCTAAATTTCACTTGCCCCCCTATGGCACAAGGTATATCGGAGGCGTGTTGGATTAGCTCAGGGAAAATTATTACCAGCGAAGCGACTCCTTCACTGTGAGCAAATTATCCAAGATTTCGTGTATTCGGAGTGTGAAAATACAAACGTTTGTATCGTCAAAAAGAGCCTGTAACGGTAAACGTAAACGGCGCTGGTCGGTGTAACGACAAAGTAAAAAATATTTCCAACATAATTTTCAATAATAGAAAATAAAATAAATTCCGGAAACGTGGCTGTAAGTGTGAATCAATTTCCGCATCCTAATACATTGACGTTGGTCGTGCCTACATGCCTCTGCCTGGAGACTGTAGAAGTCAGTGAAAAATTGTGATTTCAAGGAAGCTGGACTCGCGATGAGAAACTTTCACCACCGAGTTCAATAGTCGTATTAAATAGATATCTGTCTTAATGATAAGAGAGCCGACCAGACGATTTAAATTAATAGCGTCCATCGGACAAGTCCCTTTGTGTTTTTATTCAGCCTGCAATTTTTCCCAAGACCCCACCAGAGTGTCCAGAACTGGCTCACTGGGTTTCAACAGTCACGAGCCTCTTCTCTCTCTTCATCCAAAAGGACAATCACGTCGCCACGCCATTGCACGTCACGTTTGCTCGCGGTTCCGTGAACCTACGATAAATTCATCAACTGTAGAGCAACACCCACTCGTGAACTTAAAGTAGACTAAATATTTTGCCATTGAATCTCGAATCTTTCTACATCTATTCCCGCCGACTTTCATCCTTCCAAATAGATTGCTATCACTCGAAGCTTCCATATCACTTCACCTTTCGCGATATCGGATCGCCTCCTTTCGCCGGACCACCTCGTGGAAAAGCCCAGCAGATCTGCTTCTCGAATGGAATAGGAACTTTTTTTTATTTGTCAATTTTGAAAAATCGGTTGCAGCGAACCCGTGAATGCTTGCATCTGTGAAGTTTAACTTGACGTTTTTTTTTTCTCTTTCCTTTTTCAGATAAGACGTCCGAACGGTAGCCATCGCAAAATCTCGCAGTATCGTCCGACAACTTCCTAGTTCTTCGACTTCGACGATCCTCCTTGTGCACGTTCTGTGATTCACGTGAGATTGGAAAAATTGAAAAGAAACGCGGAAAAGCCCATCGTAGTGCAAGTGCATTGTTCTTTTTTTCTCCGTTTTTTTTTTTGCCTTCCTTAATCTAAATCGTGAACGTGAGGTACCAGTGTTTAACCACTTTCGGCAAGATTTCCACGTGGGAACGTTCGAAGGATAATCGGAAAACTACGTAAATCTACCATCATGACCGTCCGAGTGACGTTTCTCCTGTTTGGATTGGTCTTCCTTGTCGGATCAGCTAAATCGGAACCGGCCCCACGACGCTCCCGTCCGACGGCGATTTATTCCAACGAGTTTGCGCTCTACGTACCGGACGGACCATCCGCAGCCACGAGCATCGCCGAAAAGCACGGCTTCGATAACCACGGACAGGTAAGCTTCATCGAAATTCGATATTCCTCCTATCAGTGCCGATGGCAATGCCGAGAGTGCTGTTTAGATAGCCGTAGCGAAATTGTGAATAACGAGACAAAAGGGATTGAACCGGAAATTAAATACGGAGTATGGCGAACGTTCTCAAAGTTTAGGTACACATTTTTTAATCTCAAATCATCCAAATCTAAATTCCCCAAGTCGCTTGCTTAATTAATTGTTTACGAGCAGCGTCCGTTTACCTACCGCGATAACAGGATATTGATGGCACCCCGGGTACTATCGCAAAGTATGTACGTCACTGTCCCCGTTCACCGATCGATATTTACTGATCAATCTCCTTTGGCTATCCATCCTTTTACCGGATCGTCGCTCGTGCACGGTAAATATTGCACACCGTAGAAAGAAAGAGAGAGAGCGAGAGAGTGTGTAGCACCACCTATATAATTATTCTGGTGTAACATTTAGTCCACAGTCCGCGTGGATGAGGTTAATGCCAGGTCTGTTGACATTTTTTTTTCATCCTCAATTTCCCTTTGATCTTTTATTTCCCGTTGATCGATCGGTCTAACGAGATCTATGATCCAGTATATGGGTACCTCAAAAGCGCGTTATACGCCCTATACAATTTACTCCTTGCGAAAGCATGGTATTTGATTTGATCCCGATCGTACGAGTGGGTTCGGTTAAACCGCGGGAACATTTGAAAAGGTTTTTATTGAATCATCGGATTCGAAAGGCTTATACGTAACGAACCGTCAATACCCTGTGGAGGATACTTTCAACGTCCTGACTTTTTTTTCAATCAGCAATTTAAACACTGATATCCGTGGATATGCAATGGTTGTCCAATGAAGGTAGTCCAACTTGAGAAAAAAAGAACTTTTCTCCTTCCTACTGGCGACCTGGCCGAGAACGAGAGTTAACTTTCCCAGTTAGGCGTGACTCCTGGACTGAAACTGCTCGTTCGGGTCTCTTCCGCGTTTACGTGACCTCGAAACCGGTGCTTGGTCAGGAAGCCGTTTGACGGGGAATGTACCGTTTGCTGGAAGATGCGATCGCGGTTGGGATTATAGTGTCGCTGCTATGGAAACGCAGAAAAACAATGCCACTGGGTTGACAAAACAGTACCGTAGCCATTTTGTCTCTTTAAGTTGGTGTATCTCGGGAAATAATTAGTGAAACGGGCCGCGCTCTTCCTTCTCCATCTGTATTGGTCGTCCTGTCGAATAGAGGGTTGTCTTGTGTCGTCAAAATAAAATGGATGAATTAAAAAAAAAAAAAGAGAGTCAAGAGTTGGATATTGATAAAAATATCTTTTACCTCGCCTAATTTTATCGTAGCATTGTTTCATGGAGCATCACTATTATTTTACATTATAACAGAATATCGTATATCGCGTCGTATGATATAACAGGAGTCAGTGCTATAGGCGTATCGCGTTAAATAACGGCGACTACACGAAATCCGTTGAAAGGAAATAAAAACATATGCCCGTACTTGATCTTTTTGTTGGTAAAATTCAAATTGCGATGCTCAGCTTATATATAAATTTTGTTAAGCAAAAGGAAAGTCATTTTCATCTGCTGTGCCTTGGGAATACCGTTACGCCCTGTAGGTCTAGTAATTTTTGGAAACCCTGTAGTATACACTGTCACGTGCTCCAATATATTGCCTCTTGATTCGTCATACGATACGCACTCGTATCTCCACTAGAATTTCTCTCCTTAACTTCGACTTCGAGTATCGATATCTCGATTCGAGGACAGTGTAGAATCAATCGCTCGAAACGACTTGGTTTCCGTCTCCGTTCGGTTTTCTTTTTCACAAGAATACCAAATTCCTCGTGGATCCGCGTATTTTCGCCGAGCCGTACGTAAAAGTGTGTACAGACACTTTCCCCAGTGGAAACTGAAACGTGATTTTTTATCGTGAAAAAAAAATGGTTACTCGCCAGATAGCGTATTTTTTCTCTTCCCAGCACGACTCAGTATCAGTGAAATTTAACGAGTGATATTGTGTCACTTCGTAAGGATCGTGGAAACGCTCTT